CAGGTAGGGTGTGTGTGGGAGACCCCTACAGTAGATGTTTACAATTCTTTTGGTTTTTAACAATCTATAACAGGTAACAGCTTCAATATTGTGGGTAATTTTAGGTATTTTCTAAGAGGTATATTTTCCGTTTTACTGCATTATCCATTCTATCTCTCCTCTACGCTGACTGAAATTATGAAAATATTTCCTGAAGTAGCTTCTTGTTAAATGACAGATGTTGAGAAGGGAGACCTGCATGCCTCATAGTTCTAGATAGTCCTGTAATCACTAGTATCAACGGGTTAATTACTTGCAGGCATTTTTTTCTTGCAAACGGTAAATTTAATCAATATCTGCATAAAGCATTGAGGTTATTTCTTACTAAGTAAGCAACTTTTACAAAAGACAGAGATAAAAGATGCAGGGCAGTTTTCCTATTAAAGAATACAAAGCTGTGCTGCTTTGTTTGTTTAAAACTATTAGGCAGGTAGTATCTTACTATCTGGCTGGCTGACTAGCGTTAGTGCCAGTGAAGAACTTAGAAAAAAGCCCCTAACAAATCAAGTTACTGCTGAGCCCTTCCAAAGACGTTTGCTTGTGCTTAATTTGAGTGTGTTTCTCCCATAACTATGAAATGATAGCCATGCGCATCTGCAGGCATAACAACCACCTCTACATTGAACTGCACATAAAATTTCCTTTTTTTAATTTTAGTGATTGATAATAGGCCCTCATTCTTGCTCTTTGTGTGTTCTTTTACCCCGTACACACCTGACTGGTTGTGCAGCGTCGCCAAACTAGCGTGCTCGTGTTTTACACTCAGTTTGCACCAGTGTTAACCATCGCTCGTGGTCCAAGACATTGGCACATTTAGTGACTCAGTGCACTAGAGTGAACATGTATTATTTGTGCTTCTGTACTTCTGCTTTGAATTCAGCTCCTCTAGGCATTGACTGGATCTTGTCAATTTCCTTATTTTTTTCCCCTCTCTTAGACTAATGTCATTAAACTAGCACAAGGGCTGCTTTGTGTTCTGGCTGACATAAAGCACTGAAGAATGGACTTGTTAGGTGTTGCATGCGTCATTGTCTCCATAAAGTCTTTTAAAGAACAATCATCTTGACAAGTATCTTACAGTACAATTCTAATGCTTAACGTCTTCCTTTCCTCTGGGTCTCTGCTTTTCCCTCAGCTCTGTTTTGATGAGGTGTACTTTAGTAGCTGCTGGTGAGTAAATCACTTCAGCACGATCCTTGACAGCAGCTCAGGATGTGGTGCTGATGACAGTATCCCTGTAGCCAGAAAGGTCAGTGTTCAGCACAGCCACCCTGTAAATGAATGAGGCATACCTTAGCTTGAAGGTTCAAATCTAGTTCCCTGTAGGCCAAATGTAGCTTTTCCTTTGTTTGCATTGGAGGCATGGCCCTTGCTTGCCATCAGGAAATGAAATGTTCTAAGCTGGACCATTCATAGTGGCTCTCGTTGTCTTTGGCCCGATATTACCTCCAGAGAATCCAGCAGAGGGAATTTTTTAGATTGCGAGCCTCTTTCTGAGTCTTATAATGCTTTTATGGAGTGATTTCTTCTAAACACCCTCTCCTTGCCACCAAAAGCCTTGACCAGTAACAGTTTCCTTTTTCCTCGACAGATGTTCATTGTATTCAGGCTATATAATTTAACACACTCAGTCATTTTGTTCCATTTTGGAAACCAGGCTTAGCACACTCTAAGTGGGCATGCTGACTAGTGGTTAGAAGAGCAAAGCCTTGCATGATGCTGAGGTTTGATGTGAACACAGATGATCACTAGAAATGTGATCCTAAACAAGTCACTTGACTGCCTTGGGCTTCCAGTTATCCCAGCTGCAAGGTTGGGTGAAAGCTTTGAAAAACAAATGCTACCATTCAGCTGAGTGAGCAAATGGCAACTGAGGGAGGGGCATCGGTAATTGCTCAGACTGAACTGTGATACCAGAACATATTTTTTTGTCGGAAGCAGTGATCCTCGGTTCTGCAGAGCATAAACCCAAACAATGCGTGGTTTGATTTAGCAAGGACTGAAGGGCAACACAAAGGGAACATTGTTATGTCCAAGGTTCAGAACTATACCCAGATAGCAGTGGCATGCAACAAGCTTTTTCATATGTTTTTGGCTCACACTGGGTTTTGTGTAAGAACCAGAATTGGCAAGAACAGCAAGCATTGCTCAGAGAAGACTAGTCTGGGCTGATTACAGATTTTGAAGAGATTTTTAATTAAACCAGTGCTGTGAAGGCTACAGAGTTTTGGGACTGGAGAACAAAGTGGTCAATATATTTTACAAGATGTACTTAAACAACAACAAATAGTATGGTAGCACTTTAAAGACTAACAAAACATGTAGATGGATTTTACAGTGGATCATATTTTTACAAATTGGTTTTAAGCAGAAATCGCCACTGAAGTCGTACCATCCATTTTAAGCTTAAACTTTCCTGTGGGTTTCATTCCATAGTGGTTGTTTTCTTCAAGGTTTGTTTCACCATATTCTCTCTCTCTTTACGGGGACAGAATATGGTGGTTAGTTGACCTCTTTCTTGTGAGTAAGGGGTCTTTTTCCATGCAAACACAGATTGCGGTTTTCCTACACTTTCCTATGCAGGTTGAACCTCTAAAATCCAGGACTTTCTAGTCCAGCAACATCCTGCTGGACCAGATCACCCCAACAGGCCAGGTTCTGGAGTGCAGGTCGGGCTGGCTGGTGCCGGGGAAAGCAGTCCTGGCAGGGCTGGAGGAACTGGGGCTGGGAGCAGAGCCCAGTGATCAGGGATGGAACCTGGGATCAGGGCCAACAGCCGGGAGGGGAACCTTGACTTCTGCTGGTCCAGCAAACTCCATGATTTGGGATCACTCGGGTCCCAGAGATGCTGAACCTGGGAAGTCCTACCCGTATAAGAGAACAGCGCAGACCAGACTATTTCAGTAGGTCCCCAAGGGTGCATCTACATAGCAGGGTTTAACTTGAAATAAGCCACGCAAATTGAGCTATGTCACTTGTGTAATGTATTTCAAAATTGGGAGCGTCTACACAGCACTTATTTCTAAATACAGAATTCTTCCTCCGACATCCCTTACTCCTCGCACAATGAGGGTTACAGGAGTTGGGGTAAGAAGTCCTCCAGCTTCACAGTATTTCGACATTATTTCAAAATAACTGCCTGCTGTGTAGACATCCCCACAACTACTCATTTGGGGTATGGATTAAAATTGGTGGAAGGAGTTGCTGGAACTCACTGCAACAGGAGTTTGGAAGGCTCCATATCTCCTTCCCATCCCATAGCTGCTGGGTCAAATCTCGGCCTGGTTTGGCAATGGGGACCCAACGCTGATTCCAACTGCTGTGTGCTCTGGAGCAGAGAGGGCATGGTGCCTCAGATGAGCAGCTGAGTCCCAGCGCCTTGTGGCGCTACTTGGGGGATGGGGCAGGTATGTGCTGAAAGGCTCGGTCGAGCCCAGGCCCTGACTGGTGTCGCATGTGCAGTCACTTGAGAATGCATCGGTGCTTGTGTTTTGACCTATGCGGCAGGTGTTGGAGTGGAGAAGTGGGGCCTTGTGGTTAACGATCACAGTGCAGAAGGCCCCTGTGAGTGCTGGCCGCCCCCTACCTCCTCTGAAGCCCTGCTTGGAAGAGCAAGTGGGCCATAAGTCATGCCCAGGCTTGTGTGCTGCCCTCTGCAAAGGGTACGTTGTGTGTTCCCGCCACACAGCTAAGAAAGGCCTGCGAGGGGAGTGGTTCTCAACACGTTTCATTTGTGGGACCCCAAAATATCTCAAATGGAGGCGCAGACTCCTTTGGGAATCTGTTGCCTGTGTATATTTGAATTCTGTTCAGTCAGTTTTCAGGCTAAGTCTCTTAGAAACCCTTTAGATGTGGTCTGCAGGCCCAGAGGGGTCTGGGCATCACAGGCTGAAAACAACTGTGTTAAGGGAGTCCCTATTTGTATTTAAACCTGCTGTCTTGATTGCCATGCACTATTTCTGTCATCACCTGTTTTTGTCACTGACCTCGTTTTTTTTCCCCCCCTTTTGTCTGTAGGTGTCGATTCTGGATATTGGTTGTAGGACTTTTATATTTTTATGACTATTATTTTTGGTTGGCTTTTTCCCCATTCCTTTTGGATGTGAATTGAAGATCTACCGGAGGAGCGCTGGACGAGGCAACAGGAGGACCCTTACTTCGTTTTACTTGGAAACGCTCATTGCCGCGGTACCTTCAAGTTATATTCCACAGTCATGTGGTCATCACAGCTGCTGCTCTTCACAATGCTCTTAGCACCAGCAGTGCATGGTAAGAGGGATGTGGAGGGGGCTGGCGGGGCTCTCGGGTGTTTGGCCTATACGCTCTGTGTGAGACTGTTTGCTCTAGGATCTAAGGGAAGAAGGAAGAAAAAGCCCATTGAAACTCAGTAGCGTTGGGCACCAAACTCCTTTACATCTCATTGAAAAGCCCAGCGTACACTAGTGCTAAGCAGCCCTGCAGTAAAGAAAAGCATTATGTGCTTTTAAGGCATTATGTGGCCTTAAATAAAAAGTGTTTACAAACTCACCTGCTGAGTGCTTGCGAGATCCCCTTAGAGATGTATAGAGCACTGTGTCTGCTACAGTAGAGCAAACCGTCAGCCCTGTGCTCCGGCCTAGAAGAGGTGAGGCAGACGCTGTACTGGGCCTGTGCAGAGTGGTTGGCTTTCAACCTCTGTGAACAGATATCCAGGAGATGCTGCACTGTGTAACCTTCACATATTAGGACGTCACAGTGGCCATCGTATTTTGTATTATCTTAAGCAACTAATTGTAGGCTCCTTCTCCTCATGTGGGCAGCGCTTATAGGGCAATATTTTAAACAATAGGAACCCAAAGTTAAGCTCCGAAAATAACTGGCCTGATTGCTAAGTGGCTGACTAGCTAGAGGAACCTGCTGGTGGGGTGGGGAGCAGTGTTTTTCAAAATCTGACAGCTCCATTTGGGTGCCTTAAGAGGAACTGAGCTCTTTTGAAATTCTAGCCTTAGCGTTAGGTCGTTCGGAGCACTCTTCGAAATCCAGGAAGGTGCAGGGTTTACGTTCCTGTTTTTTGGGGGAATCTTGGCGAGAATTCCCCATCCACTCTGTGCATTGGGTAGTTTCCCAAAGCAAAGACTTTAGAGTTAAACTTTTCACTGTGGAAGGAATGATCCCAACAAAAATACATGCTGCATGAACCGTACTGGCATCGCATTTAACCGCTTCATGCCCTAGAGTGCGCTCTGTTAGTTTTAAAGCAACATTCTCCACTGATTTCACAAACGTATTTTGTAAAGCAATGGTGTCAACTAATGGGGACGAGGGGGAGGCTATTCTGGAGGGAGCGTTTGGTTCTTCGCAGAGGAAGTGGAATGATAAATGTTGCCTCGCAAGTCTTAATAATTTAACAATGTGAATAGTTAAAGTAATTAACAATTGCACTGCCCCCTGGCAGTTCTGGAGTTAGTCATGAGCGCTCGCTTGCTAGTGTTGTGGAATGAAAATGCCAGAATACCAGGAGCCAAGTTGCCCCACAAACGAGCAGATGCCGAAGATGCAAACCCGAGGGCTTGGTGTTTCCCAGAGATCTGCTCCTTGGAGAGTCCTGTACTCCTGTGCAAACAGAGGGGAAAGCATGGCAGATGTCATCAGTGAGAAATGAGGCCTCCCAGGTTAGCTCTGACCCTGTGTAATCCTCTAGCCAGGGTGTGTTACACATCCTCCTGTGTGCCTGGTCCCCAGTGGTCAACAGTTGGTTACCACCACGGCTACAGCACCTGGCTTTTTGGTTCCAGTGCTCAGACCTGTGGAGATGATCTAGATGGCGGTTGGTCCTGCCGTGATGGCAGGGGACTGGACTTGATGACCTTTTGAGGTCCCTTCCAGTTCTAGTTTTCTATGGTTCTATAAGAACTCCCGTTGAAACCTTGCTGGTGGCCAAGAGAGCAACCACCCCAACAGAGCCTGGCCGCAGAGCAGTACTTGGTGTTTCTGGTAAGTGCTAGGAATGCTTTCAGCCCATCCAGTTAGCCTAACAAAGAGGGAAAGATGAACCCACGAACATGAGAGTTACCTAGAAGGTCAGACTAGATGATCTCATGGTCCCTTTGGGTCTCCAAATGGACACAGCTCAATACCCACTACCCTTTCCAGCACTGTTGGCACAAGAGAGTTGGGAGGGGGGGCAGCAGATTCAGTGGTGGAATTTCTTCTCTCCATTCTGGAGGGTTGTGTGCGTGCATGTAGCAGCTTGAATTCAGCTGCCAGTTAAATGTGAAAAATGTACCCGGTTAAGAGCTTCACATTCTTGTCTCCTTAGAGATCCCCTTGTGTGCAGAAGCTTTGCTGGGAAGTTGTTTTCTAACACAGCATCAAGCTTTGGTTTCTGTTGTTACAACTTCTGAAAGTATCTGGTGATCAGCAGAGAATTGCAGGGATGTGTAGTAACTGGTGCGGGTTTATTTGAGGGGGTTTTTTAGTCTTTGTTTTTAGGGTGCTCTGGTTGGCCCATCTTCCCTCTGAAACTTGCCAATTACAATTGAGATTCTGTGCTGGAAGCAGAAAAGTGGAAGGATCACCTTTTCCTTTTCCTTTTTTAAATCTGCACATAGCCAGCGCTCCCAGACATTTGCTTTTGTGACGGGTTTCCCACCTCGGATAACTGTGCAAGGTTGAGATGCTGTGTCCTGTGGTGCTTCATGCCGCATGCAGCAATGTAAGCTTTCGTGGGCAAAGACCATGGACATGCATCTGACGAAGTGGGTCTTTGCCCACGAAAGCTTATGCTCCTACACTTCAGTTAGTCTATAAGGTGCCACAGGACTCCTCGTCGCTTTTGCAGATTCAGACTAACACAGCTACCCCTCTGATACATGCAGCAATGGCGATCTTCCTGTGCACCGAGCCACATTGCAGCCCAAAGCCATTGGCTCCACACTGCATTTCGGGGCGGGGACAACAGGGAGCTGCTACAGTTTCTCTCAGGGGCGGTATGGCCCACAAGAGCAGCTGGGCCGTCGAAAGGCGGCGAGTGGGGAAGGGTGTGTAAAACTATGGCCCTCCGACCAACACTGCTGGCCCCTCATTGCTCAGGGAGCACAAAGACCAGACTTGTGTCTGGCCTTTGAACAGGACTTCCAGGGGATCGTCGGCTGCCCTCATGTGCCCCAGTGTACACCTGATCAAGCCACCTGCCTTCTGTCCCTTTGCCTGGGCTGGAAACAACGCGTTTACCTGAGACAGAGAAGAACCTTCTTGCATGTGCCAGCCCCTCCTCTCCTACCTCCACCAAGTGACCTGCCTCCTCTCCCCTCCCTCTGCAGATTCCTTTGTCCAAACGCAGGTGAGCAGACGCACACTCCATGAAGCCTGCTTGCTCTAATGCCGGTGTCATGGGGAAAGCACTCAGGCGCTGGGATGGGTAGCAAGCCCCTATGCTGTCCTGACGTCTTATTTAAGCACCAGTTTATCACGGAAGTTGTGTTTTGATGGGAAGCTTGGCAGAATATTGTGTAAAACCAAAATTCAGTCTTCTATGTCAGTAACCGGCAGGCCAGGAAACATGCCGTGTGTGTGTGTGTGTGTGTGTTTGTGTGTGTGTGTGGCACACACACACACACACACACACACCCCTGCAGCCCTGAGAGAGATTTTCAAGAGGCCTCTGCGTATTGAGGCCACCAGCAATCTTGGCTTTCTGTTTGAGAGACTTGGCCGGAGCTGGGGCTGAAACCCTGCACCTGTTGTTTGCCAAGCAGAACAGCCATTTGCAATCCTGTCCAGTCACACATTGCGCCCCCTCACTATTCTCTTCCCGTCTTCCCTCAGATGCTGTGCCATTGTACTGCTATTCCTGGTGTATGGCTCTGGCGGTGGTCTCTTCCTTGCAAAGGACTGGCGGTCACAAGCCATACTTCTCACTTCTTGCTGCTTTCCAGAGCCAAGGTGCTCAGCCAGGCTCCATGGTGTTGTTTTGTGAGAGCCTCTCCCTTGGAAATAGGTACTCCTCAGCCACGCTGGAAGTTGCCTGGTGACAATGCCTTAGCTGAAGCAATCAGTATGATCTTCCTGGGGGGAATATAGGATGCGAGCAAGCTGGCCCTTGGTGACAGAGAGCTGCTTAATGGAAGGTGAATGTTTGCCGCCTTAGCGTTGGAAGACAGTGGAAGCACTGTCACCTTTTAAAATACATAGCGTGTTTCTTTTGTACTTCTACAAGTGTTCTGTTAGCTTGTGAACGGTGGGTAATTGCCCTTTTCTATGTTACTCTTTATACAGTCCAAATGAAATGCAAGAGACGTGTTTTATTGGTTGTGAAATAGCCAAGTTGACAACTAGGCTTCTGCCTAACTTCATTGTTTTAAAAGATTAATCATCCTTGAAATATTTATAATATTTGCTAAGCTAAGCAATAGGTATGACTGCGGTGTAGCCACCATTTTTATAGGAGGAGAGGTGAGGAAACAAAAGCTTTTCCTGGTAAAAGGGCTGACGGCAGATGTATGCCACGGTGTTTTTATTAGCGGCACAGTACTAAATTCAGGAGTATTAAATTCTCCAGCTGATGGCGGTCTGGTTCGTAAGCCGGCAGAGGATGAAATTCAACCCTGCAAAGGTCCTGTGCACCACTTAATTCTCACTTAAGCCATTAAGTGGTGCAAAGGGCAGTGTGCAGGGCCCCCTCTACACGGGTGAATTTCACACCGAGTAAATGGGGGGATTGCTGGGCTTTTTTTCTTTCCTTCTTCAGTGTTCTGCAAACGTGCTGCTCAGAATGTTCCCCCCCGCAAATGGGTGAGGGAGGCTAAAAGCCAGCAAAATATTCTTACGCTTGCAGCCCACAATGCAGGGTAGGCACACGAACATCTTTCATGAGATTCCCAGATTGCTCACACTCAGACAACTAGCTAGCAGCTGTGAGTTGGCAAAGCATTCTGGGTATGAGCATGCAAATAAACATATCAAGGGATTGCCACCTCCGTTTGCTTTTCAAGTATACATGTTACATAGATTCAGAACACATGGGGTTTTGTTCTGGCACAAAGCATTGTCCAGCACTGATTTCGATTAGCCCACTTGCTCTCACTGTTACAGAAGGAAAGCAGGATGCTTCGCGAATAATCTGTGTGTCACTACCCATGGTATTGGACCAGCTTGTAACTGTTTCATAGCAAGTCTGTTGTCTGAGCCTTGGCAATCAGCTAAGTGTGAGTTTACAGTGTTAATTGAGCCATGCAGCATGTGAATTACAGTGCAGTAATTCACCCCGAACGCATTTAGGCACAACGCAT